TGTACATTCCAAGGATTTAAATTCCAGATTTATATAATTTTGATTTATATGATTTTTATAACAATTTTCCAAATGAAATAATAAATAATAGATTCAGATGTTTACATTCAAAGTAATACTGATGAGTAGGTTTTGTATTTTTAATGAATATAAATAACATTTATTTTTATTTAATTAATTAATTTTTTTATTGTTATTATTTTTACTTTAATTATTATTAGAACACAATTATTCTGATAATGTTGTGATTGAAGATACTCCCTTAAACGATTCAAATAAGGTACCTATTTAATATTTATATTTATAAATTAGCTTAAATATAATAAGTATCTTATAGGTATTTGTATGTCCAAATAGATTAATTATGAAATAGAAAACATATTAAATCAATATTCAGATGGAAAAATGATTATAAAATATTACAAATTAAATAAAAAATTAAGCAATTCTATGGAAAATATTTTATCTACTGTATTAATAAAAAATGAACTAAAAAATGATCAAGAATTGAAAATTAGTAAAATGAGATTTGAAACATTATCTCAAGGTATAATTTTCTTAGTCATGACTCATAACTTATAGCTCTAAAAAAGGTTGTTATGATCGCTTAAATATGCTCTAAAAAGTATTCATATAAGAGCTTAAATATGCACTAAAAAATACTAAAATATGCAAAAAAACGTTTGTATACAACAATTATTATTTTATTATTATTATTTATTATATTATTTTATTATTTTAGCTTCTATTATAAAAAAAAAAAATTGAATAATATTACATCGGAATTATTGTACTTGATTGTATCATAAACAACTTGTGGTATTCATTTATTCAGCGATTGTTCTGTTAAAAAAAAATTTATAAATTTATAATTACATATTTTTTAAATATTTTTAATCGTGTATTTACCTTGAAAGTTATATTGAATAATCAGATGTTTGCACAAGTTTTCAAATTGAAATGATCTTCGATTGTTACTGAGTAGTCTTGTACATTGAAAACGATCGCTCGATGTCCACTGACGTAATTGATGCAAACTTAAAGTATTTAAGGTGCTGTTAGTTTCCAATAAGAATAAACTGTTTCATTTGGCTCTGTATTATTTTTCAGCCAACAAATTTCTTCATTAAACTCTATACCTAATTAGGTAAAAAAAATTAGTCAACTTCAATATACATTAGCAAAAAAATATTACCATCAGACATCACTAGGGCTCGGAACTTAATGCACTTAAAAAGTACTAAATATGCATGTACTTATGCGCTTAAAAAACTACAAATATGCTCTAAAAATATGCACTTATATTTAATTATTTTACACAACATTTTCATTTGTACAAATATTTTTTTTAAATTTGTAAATAAAAAAAAAAAGCAAAGTAATATAAGTTATTAATTTATTATTATTTATATTTTCTAATCATAATTTAAACAAAAAAATAATAAAAAAATCGCTTTAATAATTAAAAATGTTCCTTGAATAAAAAAATGCACTTCTGTCGAGTTATATTTATATACCTGAAATACCTAAAATCTATAAATGCCATTAACAATAGTCAATAATCATTGAGTTATTTTCCTATAAAAGTATTTATAGAAAATCGTCGTATTTCGATAGCAGCTGTTTCTATTTTAGATTTGTATAATATTCTATTTTAGATAAAGCTAGCTGTAGTTGTAATTTATATAGGTATATATTTATATAATATCATATTAACCAATAGAGGAAAAACATAGTTTTTAATGTCAAATGGAAATTTGAATAATAAGATTCAAGAATATCTAGTAAGATCTCTGAATATGAATGTATTTATTTTTTTATTTACAAATTTTCATATTAAATATCCATAAATTATAAAATATGCTTTAAAAAATTGTAAAATTAAGAAATATGCTCTAAAATCTAAAAATCACTAAATATGCAAAAATATGCACTAAAAACTTTTGATATGTTTTTCGTAGTGTCTTGAAATGAATTTCTAGCTTACTTAGCAATAAATCTAATGGTTCAAAAAAATCATGCAAATGCAACAACTTCCGAGCCCTAGACATCACATTTGGAGAAAAATAACAAGTAATTATAGTCATATTAATTGTTCATATTAGTAATTAATTCGTGTTAATTAATTTTATTTCTTATATAACTTATATAATAGTATCAGAACTCAGAAGAAACTGAGTATATATATACCTACCTATACGAGTTTAGGCGACGCGCGACGTAGCGAGAGGAACGCCCGAAACTTCATAATCCCATCAATAAGGAAACCATTATAATTGTATATAAGTAATATTGTAGCTAGTATTGTAGTATTTTATTTTTATAGTTTCTAGGTATTCGGGTATTCCGATATCATTATTCTCAGATTATTTACAGATATTTTTCATTAACATTTTGCAGTCGTTTCCGATTTTTCGTACTGTATGCATGCAGCATGCCACGTTCGTTTCGTGAATTCAGTATCTAAATTTTGTAGTTTTGTACGTTTATATATTTTTACCATGCCTAAAGAAAAACAATCTGTTTCTAGTCGTCTTAAAAATATTGTTTCTCGAATTTTGTGAAAATACTTTTGTAGCCGACGCAAGTGTATTACTATGTAAGTTTTGTAAAATTAAAATTAACCATGGAAAAAAATTTAATATTACACAATATTTAAAAACCGACAAACATATTAAATAGATAGACTAACATAGAAATGTTTTCATAAAGGTAGACAAACTTATGCGGAAACTTGTATTAAATTTTCAAAACTTGGATTTCAAAAGGAAAATTTTTATGAATTTCTAACTCAAAATCATTTGCACATTTTCGTGATTTTTAAGTATTTTGTCAAAATTCGAAATTTAAAAGTTTATAAATATTAATTGTGACTATGTATTCGTAATATTTTTCATCTGCCGTTGTATCATTATATTAGGAGCCTTGTATTCATTTTTCAAGCTTTTTGATTCAACGAATAACATTTTATTGACATTTATCTAAAAAAAAACTAAAAAAATTGTAAATTGAAAATGTCCGTTAACAGCTAAAAACAAGTAAAATTATTTTGAAAATGTTTGATGTATACAAATGCAAATATGAACGTTCAGTGAAACTGTTTATTGTGACACTCAAATTTGAGTAGAAAATTCAGTTTTTTCTTAATTTTTTGTTTTTCCCGGCTTTTTTCAAAAGTTAGAACTTCTGTGTATTTTAAATTTTGACCTCTCCAATCGTTTAGATGCATTTAGGTGCATCATTTAGATTCACTTTCCCATCGAACAAGATACTGAAATTGAAATCGAAGCATTATTTATACTGCTTATCTTGTACAGATTAAAAAATTAAAAAAACACGCTCATTGTAAAATCAATACATCGCACTGCTCAGAATCTAAAATATTTGGTAATGAAAAATTAAACATTTTTTTTTTTGTAATAAAATAACCTTTATTTATTATATTTATTTAACATGATATAAATTATAAAATACAACTTTTATAAGAGAATAACAAAGAACTACGTAATTTAATTGTAAATCTTTTGAAAAAAATATTCTCATACCCTCAAATATGCAAAATTATGCTAACTCTTAAAAATTTGATGTATGCATTATGTAAAATATAGTTTAGCTTTAGACGTTTAGTATTTTCTGTATAATAGGTAGGTATTACGATATAATATATTAAAATACATTTTGATTCATTGGCTCAAATAGGGGGGTGCTTTGGGGGGAACTTGTTCCCCCCAGTTCAAAATCTAGTAATTACTATTAATTTTTATATTCTATGGTACTAAGCCATATGACATATGGGGAGGGGGGCTTGAGTCCCCCCAAAAAATTTGGGCAATTTGTGACTATGATCTCGATTAATTTTAACTAGTCGCAAAAGACAAAATACCCAAATGCATCATACTACCACATTTCACAGCCCCCAATATTATTAGGAATTAAAAAAAATAATAATGTTATATTATTTATCAGACAGTTCGCAATTTCGAATGCTTGTCGCATATTAAGCGTAGGTGTGCCCCCAACCCCCACCTATTGACGATTGACACATCTCACTTGAGTAACACCTGCTCTGCAAAGATACAAAACAAAAAACTGTCGTAGGTGTACAAACCACAATGTATATTTATATCTCTAAAGTTAAAATATGTATTATTAACACGCCATAGCCATAGTTGAAGTGTACAGTGTACACTGTACGAGTACTGCATAATAATATCATTACCGCACGTCACACAACAAGACGGCGCTGTGCACCAGTGCGTAGTCGTTGTGCGTACTCCAAATTATTAATTATTCCATTTATTATTATTATTATTATCAACTTTATAATCATCAGCAACATCGAGCGCATGTACATAGCTTGCAGCTGTAGCCAATACTAAATAGCCACAGGCCGTAACTCCGTAGTGTGGTAACAGTCTGTGGTGATATAGTACGACGGTGTGCGCTTAATGCTTATCACAAGAGCAACGTAATGATAAGGATTTTTTTACGTCGTTCCCTCCAGCTTGTTAATTTTTTTTCCGAATCAAAACTTACGACCGCGACAACAACAATAACAACAACTGCAATTAATTACATTATAATATCACCGCCATACTCAACGAACGAATGTCTGGGCATATTTTTCTTTTCGCTCATAAATGTCGGTTTATTCCGTCGTCGTTTCAGCACCGATTGAATTGATTGCGATGTGCATTTGGTCGTCTACCATACGATCGCCGCCGCCGCCACTGCCGCTGCTGTCGTCGTCGCTGCTGCCGCCGCCGCCGCAGCCGCTGTCGTCGTCGTCACAACAATAATACGCCGCATCGAAAACTCTACGACCCGTTGTTGAATGCGGGACATGGACACCTGACGACCGTCCCTGGACTTCCGATCGACAACACCGCGGTGTTGTTAGCGCGGCATTCCGCCTGTTAATATTCGAATGGTGGACGCGTAGACAATCCGACAAACTGGACAAGTTACCTGAGTATCTCCGCGACACCGTGGACTGGTTTATGGGGTAAGTCAGTCAGTCGGTCGTGCATCGAATGGTTACGTTGTGCAGGCTTTAACAAATCGGATGGCTCTGCTCATACTGCTTTATCCGTTTTAATAAATCTGTTGCACTATCGTTTGATTTGTGTGTACCTAGACTGGTGCTCAACTCCGAATCCGGATTAATTCCATATTTAGATTACCTATCTGGATTAAAACAACCATTAGGTATAGTTTGTCTCATCCGGATTATGATGATATATCGGAATAATAGGTATTTTAATAATATTATATTAATTATAATAATACGATTAGTATTTAATTATTTATTTTTATTTTAATAATATACCTAGGTACTGAAAAAGAGTACCTATTTTCCTATTACATTCTTACTTTTTATTTTCTATAATTTATTTATTTATTTATATATGTATAATGTGCATACTTGTAACTACATACAGTTCTTTAATTAAATATTTAAACTTAACGTCTTCAGTAACAAGTTTCTAGTGTTAAAAGGATTAGATGTAGTAATTTTCTATTTTACCTCTAGTCAAATTAGGGGAAATTAGTGAATGTTATTTTAAATCCAGAAAAAACAAATTGAATCCAAATTTTGAATTATGTCATTGTAATACAGATTGTTCAAAATATTGATCAGTACTAGTACTTACCTACTACCTATGACTATAACGTAGAGTATTTTTTCAATTCAACGTTATAGGTGTTGGTGTTATATTAAATACGTTGACTGCCAGGCGGCCGACGGCGGTCACACAATATTGTATATATTTCAGAATTATTTCTATAAACTGTTGAATTTGAAAAATATGCTTATTACATCAAAATATTGGAATGATTCCCGCTACGCCACGGCACGTTTTTTACCTTGTGCATTATTGTAGCATCATGGAAAAGTTAATAATATAATACCATATTCATTTATGGCCGCTGGCAGTATGGTGTATAAATAATAACAAAGTGCAACCGCCGCTGTCTATAAAAAATACTGTTGTATCTCAGTACTTTGAGGACACCAGTGGCTTAAACAGCTGCATGGCAGTCAACGTGTTAATAGAATATTATAAAAATATTTTATAACAGATTTGGCTTTTCATTAGTTTATGTTAAGTTAAAAATTGTAATATTAATGATTCCTAGGTTATACCTGATGGTACTGTCAGTATAAAATATTTTAAACTTTTTAAATACTCAATATTAAACTATTATCAAATTTATTTGTTTTATAAAGTTTAACATTTTCTTATACCACCAAGGGCCGTTCTTACAATGTCCGACACTTAACCAGCCGAATTCTGCTAGTAATAAAATCTGTTATCAATCGGTTAGCGTTAACTGACACTTTACCAGACATTGTAAGAACGGCCCTAAGATAGATCAGATAATCTCCTAAAAGGCCATACCATTAAATTACTATATTAACGTTATTGGAGCACACTGTATTTTTTGTAGTTTTAGACCAATTAGCTGAAGATTAGTTTATGTACTTCCCGATGTCCAATTATTATTTAAAAAATATTTATGAACTAGTCATCTCCTTTTATAGGTTATGTAGGAAACAGATTTTTGATTATTGTATTCAATAAGGCTTAAAAAATATGTGGAAATTTTAAAAAATTTTGAAAAAATTTTTATTTTATACACTTACATTCAGTTTTAAAACATAAATTATTTTTCCTACATAACCTAGTAAAGAGGATGATAAATTCATACATAGGTATTTTTCCCGGTATTTTTAATACAAGAAGGACATCGGGAAGTACATAAGCTAATCTTACGCTTATAGCTATTATGTACCGATTTTAACGATAATGGATTACACACACCTAGGTTCATTTACTACTCACACAGTGACAAATATTTGCCAATAATATTTTTGCACAATTTCCTAAATTTTACTACTTAAAATATGCTATGCTCCAACAGCCTTAAACATGATATCTAATGGCTTAATAAATTATACCAGTCTTTATAGAACTTTTAAATTGTATTAAGCAAATCAATGCTATCTGAAATATTATATATTTCTTTTTGTTACAATGCAAGAGTTCACTAGGTTTTTTATTATCAATCGCTTGACTACAGTTTCCTGTTAATTTAAACTTTTATAATATATTCATTGTTGAGTTTGTTAGATATAATTCAAGGCAATATTGAATGAATGATTCTTAGATAAGCTGACCTCTAACAGTCATACCTACCTAGTATGTTGAAGTTTATAGCTATTTTATGTAACATGCAATATTAATTATATTACTTAGTTATGAAACTTAAAAGTAAGAATATTGTCTATGTTAGTACATGAGTTTTTACATACTCATAACTCCTTAAATAGGTGTAGCAATGTAACATGTGAATAATGTAAGTTCAAAATTAATTTATAATAAAACTTATGAAAAACATCAATTTTTCAAATTACACTTTAATCAATGTTATAAAATTATTTAAATATAGTTACTTAATTATTTTTTTCAATTATGACACTTAAAAATAAAAGAGATTCAATAGATAAAAATTATATTCTTTTTTTTTAATTTAATATTTCTGACCTTCTAATGAGTTATTTTGTTTAGTAATTACTAAATTGAGGAAAACAGGTTCTATACAATTTAAAAACAAGTATGCATTTATATACTAAATATATCCAGGATGAAACAAATTTGAAGAACAGCAATATCATTTTCCTTGCCTCAATTTGTTTTGTAGTCAACCACAGATGGACTAGTTACATGATTTACCAGTAATTTTTTTGTTGGAATTTCTTATTTCCGAGTGATGAAAAATATTAAGAAAATATTTTATAATACTTCAGCCGTTTTTTATTTAAAAGCTAAATTTAAATATTCGTTCTGAATATTTATTTAGTATCTACTGTTTAAGAGTTTCCAAATAAATAGGTAATTGATCAATCATTCAAAAAGAGAATTCATGGTCATTGTTGACAGTTTTTACTTTTGTCATATTTTGATGATAGATCACATCATAATTATTTATCATTTATGTAATTGAAATGAACATAATTTGCACCAAATTTCAATAATAAATCCATTCGACTTAAACTCATAATTTGACTGGCATTATTTCATATGAATTCTGTGGTTGTAGTGTTATTCACAATAATAGTAGATGCATTGTAATAAGTAGTTGTGAGACTTGTAACTTTTAAATAATGATTTACAATTAATAATAATATATTTAAATTAAAAAAAATATATATAGGTATACATTCTATAAAAGATAATAAAAATATCAAATGTATTGTTAAAATTATTCATTTAGAAATTTTTATTAAAACACCTGCATGCGTTGTCTTACTTATGAGTAACATAGCAAATGTTACGTTCAGAATAATTCATTTAACTCAGTTTTTTTGATATTAGAGTAAATTGATCTATTAGAAAAATGTAAATGTAAGACTTATCTAGGACCCACTTGGTTTTTTATATTATAATTTTAATATAAGTTATATACATTTTAAAATTGTAAATCTTTTGCATGATTTAAAATACTCATAACTTCCTATATCATTAAAATTACAAAAAAAAAACCTAAGTGTTGCCATAAAATAGTCTTATTAGTGGTCTTATATTTAAATTTGATAATTGTTGCATTATTTATTATTATTATTAATATTATCAGAATAAATTATTCTGAAAGTAAAAATTGCAGTTGTGCCTTTTTAGGTAAATAAGTTGTAAAGAATGTTTTTGTTACGATTTGAATTTTGTGAAAATGTTATTATTTAAAAAATTTAAATTTATTAAAAAAAAACTTAGTTTATCTAATACTTTAAAAAGTTAGAAATTATTTGTTTGCATATTGCTGTAAAAACAACAATAAGTAATTTTTCAGTAAAATTATTATACTGTGTCGTAATGATAAAAGATGGGTAATTATCTATTATATAATTTGAAGCTTTATTATTTAGAAAAAATAATTAAAGATAATTTAATTACTGTTGCTAGTAAATATCGTAATAAAAGACTGAGTGGTAATTTTATTTACAACAAATGTGTACATTACCTGGGTAATTTTAACCGTAAATACAAACAATTTTTTGTTAAATATTTTATTACTAGGTAATAATTATAATATAACATTGATAGAAAAAAAAAAAAACAAAAAAAATGAATTAATATATATTATTAATTATAATTTTATTATTACCTACCTATGTATTATTATGCTACGATTATCTAGAATTTTTTTATCATCAATTTATTTGTACATGATTAAATTGGATGATACTTAGAATTGCTGTCTGTCTATTTCAAAACACACGGCGTAAAAACTTTCTATTATTTTTATTATTATACAATTTTAGAATTAAATTTATTCCATATGGCAATATTAGATTGATAAAAGTGTGGGAAAGCAGGCAAACTTTGCAATTCTAAGTGCCATTCTAATGAATCGTGTACAAATAAATAAGTAATAATAAAATTATAAATAATCTTAATATATTGATAAATAATAACTTATTTATTTATTTTGTAAGGTATTGTGCTATCAATATTAGATAAATAATTACTATCATTATTATAATTGTTTAAGTATCCATAATACGTATAATAACATAAAACATTTGATAAAATTAATTATCATTGATCTAAAATATTCAAAATGTAATGAATAGGTTATAATTAAATTATAAATAATGGTTTATTATTATTATTTTTTTCATTGATAGGTATTATATAATTATTAAAAATAATAAATCTAATAAAAATTATTACACAAATATTGCACAAAAAATTATTGTATTTATATTCACAGTTTAAATTGCCTGGGTAATGTAGTATGCACACATTGCCACATGTGTTACATGTCTGTAACATACTAACTTATACAGTTACAAAACAAACAGTGTTTTAATACTTAATGTTAAATGTTTTATTGTGGTGAACCTATTTTATTCAATAGTAATGTAGGTTCCTATAGTGTTATGAATTGTAGTATAAATACTGGTTTATAAAACAGAAAAAGCTTGATGAATAAATTTATAAAATATTGTAATTTGTAGTATTGACCATGTATTGGAGGGTATACCCTAGCACTAGTTTACTCATAGAGCGTATACTACTATATACAGGTACATCTTCAAAAATAACCAACGACAAAAGTGAAATAAAACATAAATTACTTTCAAAAAAATATATTTATCTTTATTTTTGACAAATAAGTATGGTTGTTCAGTGAAAAATTATCATTTGTCTAATGATAATCAATCACCATAACGATATCAATAATTTTACAATATTATAAACACGGTTATGGACACTATAATTTTGTTGTTGAAGGACAGCTTTCCACTCTAAACCCATGGGCACTAATGAAGTTGAAAAAAAAAGTTTATGGCAGATTTTATAGAAGACACCATTTTATGTTTATCACTAGGGCTCGGATTTATATGTATTTATACTTCCAAAGTATGTATTTTTACAACAAAAATATGTACATAAATAAAGAATTCAAAATATGTATTATCAAAAGTAATAATAATAATAATTAATAATATAATAAAATGTAATAAAAAATGGATATTTATCTAATTACCTATATTGGTTACAATTAATAACATACATTTTTAAATTTTCGTATCCAAAAGATTATCAATTATTGATTTATTATATTAATAGTTATAGTTTTAGTAAGTATAGTACGTAGAGATTTATTTTAGAGACATACCAAATAGAACAGAACTATGTAACAAAAAGTAATTTTAATCTGATGCATAAATGTCTCATTATGGTTAAAAATCTAAGGGGGCTAGATGTATCAATTAACGCACAATAGGCGGGGATTACCTAAAATATTATATTGTTATTGAGAGTTCCCGAAGTCCCAATACTCCTTTCCCGTATACGCATATGTGCTGAGCTTCTATTATAGAAAAAAATTACATTTACATCACCAAGAACACAAAACTAACACAACACCAATTTATATATTTTGAGTTTAAATGCTATAATGCCATAGAAAATTGTTTATAATACAGGGTTAGGTAATCCAAAATGATTTATCCAATTTCAATTGCTTGTTTATATTTAGTTTTTAGATTTATACTTTAAAGTAATATAATATATCATGATACATTAAATAAAGGAATAAAATTACTTATGTTCTAATATGGCTTACACACTTTAACAACTTCTATTGGAAATTCAGAACTCAAATTCATTTCATGCATATCCGTGTGATTAATTTTCTAGCTCATCTGTAATTATGATAATGGTGCTATATTATACACCAGCTGCATAGCTGTGAACCTTTTTTTTTTGAAGGGGGGAGGAAATACTAAATAAATAACTTTAAAATTATTAAAATGTAAATTTATATTATATTCTAAAATAAATTTGCATTTAGCAAAAGAATAAAAAAAACATCTTAATGAGGGGAAATGCCTCTGTCCCCCCACCCAATAAATATGCCCCTGATATACACTGTATTTTTAAGATATCCTATCATATCATATAAGGTATCCCTATCCCCCGTAGATATTATAAGACTTATAATATCTATGGCATCCCCAAAAGAAAAAATCACATGACATAGATAGGTATCGCTATAGATAAGATTATCTAGAAAGTCGAGTGAAAAGCATCATTCATTTTAAATAACCCTGTAAATATTTATAATATTATTAAGAGGACATGTTACCCGCAAGTGTTGGTTCTCTCTTACAAATGTTGAACACAAACTGTTTTAGGGGTAACAACTTTACACCCTCTGTGGCCTGTGCTTATAGTAACACAACGCATGCCATAGGGAATAACTTGACGTAGCGTTTTAATTTTTTTTTGATAACACTAACCAATCATTTTTATTAATTAAATGAAAAAGAACAAAAAAAAACCTAATGAGTAATGTTCTCAAACTGATAACTTTAATTGTTTATATTATGTTATCCAAAAAATAAAAGCTCTACATCACAGATAATGTTCTTCCCTATGCGTTATGAAATTTCAGTAATTCTACTATAAATACAGGCAGTAAAGTTGTTACAAAACAGTTTTTGGCTATGTTGTACATTTGTAAGACGGAGACACCACATGCTACCTCTTAAATAAAATTTATTTTATTTTATTTATATACATGTATCAAAGCCCCTCTCCCCACACTACAGCGGTGGCGGTGGTGGTTACGGTAAAATGAGTCCAGACACAATGTTACTGCCACCAAGCCAAAAGAATTTTACAGCCACCGCTGCAGTGTGTGCCGACCTTTATAGTTCTATTATAGTCAAAAGTAAGAATACAATATAGAAATTATAGTAATAATTGATAACATTTAGTATAGATATTATTAGTGTAAATAATTGTATCTAATTAAGTTTAAAAATTAATGGAGGAATTTGATAGGAAGTAGTGGTTTCCTGGTTTGGAGCCAGAAATTCATATTAAATATATTGAAGATTGATTTTTTAACTAATTTGTGAATATATTATGTTTAACTCAGACAGTAATACAGGAAATACACCAATATAAAATAATATATAGATTTATTGTCATATATTATTAAATAATATAATAATATATACTAGTAAATATTATATTATCTGTGTCCATTGGTGTATCTATAAACCATATGAATGGTGAACTAGAAAATAAATTATTTAGATACCTATAGAAATATAAATTAAAAATCTATAGAATATAAACAATAAACATGTAAAGTATTGTTAGTAGTTGGTACTGTTAGATACCATTATTTTTATACCTTTTTGTAAAAGTATTTTATATTATACTAACTGGTCCTGCACACTTCGTAGCCCGAAGAAAATGACAACCCTTAAAAAATTTGTTCAACTCCTTTTAGGTATAACCCAGTGCAACTCAGCCACCCTGGTAGGCAATGTGCTAAAATTTGATGCTTGTACCTGATCTGCCCGATTAACCAATGGCAACCAATAATAAATAAATACCATTTCTATTAATTATTTCTCATATAACCAATAGCAACCATTTATAAACAAACATTTCCACCGTAAATCTCAAAATCCCTGTTTGAGCACTTTCACAAGCTTCTATTAATTTGTCGTAGCGTGATGTTATATAGCCTATAGCTTTCCTCGATGAATGGACTATCCAACTAAAAATAATTTTTCAATTCGAACCAGTAGTTCCTGAGAATAGCTCTTTCAAACAAACAAACTCTACAACTTTGTATATTAGTATAGAATTATAATAGCTTCTATACCCTTATTTCAGCCTTGTCTAGATTATATTAATAATTATTGGTATTATACTATTCATTCAATTGGGTTTTTAAAAATAATTAATATGTATATAGTTCCATTTTATAAAATATATATTTATATTAATTTGTAATGGTGTGTAACATCTATTAATGTGTTTTCGTCAACACTCATATTATAGTCAAATCTGGAATTTCATTATAAACCTAGACAAATACTTATAGTTTTAATACAAATTTCCTTATTGGTAATACTATTTAAGTTAAATAGTCAAGCTTTTTACTAAATATTTATTACGACTTACAAGCCAAGAAACTTTTTATGCAAGGTTTAAACTTTAAACTCATTAAAATATTTTTATTTATTCCAATAAATAATTTATTATAATTTTGACTATTTGTCTGGTTCAGAGGTTCTCAAACTGAATTGTGTTAAATTTTGAAATATTTATATATTTTTTTATAACAAAAAATATTTTATGTATAAATTGAGTATAAATTCAAATAAATATGATACAGTATTTTCTGTGTAACTATATTGTACATTTTAAATTTAATTTAGTTTAATTATTGATCAATGATCATTATATATGATTAAAATTACACCTGAAATGTGTCACCATAACTCTAATAGACTAAAAGTTATTGCAAATATAGTGATCGTCAATGAATAAAAAAAAAAGGTCATTAGTATATTGTGGCTCTCCAAAATGGGTCGTTCAGTGGAAAGTTTTTGAACCTTGGGTCTTCTTAGTCTTTATAACTAAATAAAAAATTTAGGTTACAGAAAGACAGAAATAATGATAGATTGTAATAAATATTTAAACATTTAGGTACAATTAATTATTTTAATTTTAAATTATATATCATATATTTGTTTGTTTATAGGAAAGGTCGAAAGGCCAAAGACAAGGAATCATTATGTAATGATGATAACAAATTGTATTTGGAAGAAGCAGTATTAGAAAAAAAGTTACCCGACATTGATCTTAGGATATTAGTTGAAATGCCAAACGGAATAGATTTTAATGAGTGGCTCGCTTCTCATAGTAAGTATTAATAATTTTTTGCTAAAATCTGTTTCTTATTTTTAATTGTATTATTATTTATCCTAGCAATTTCAATTTTTGACAACACCAACTTGATTTATGGAACTGTGTCAGAATTCTGTACAATTTCGGGATGTCCTGATATGGTTGGGCCAAGTTATAGGTATTTTATGAACTATAAATTTAAAAATATAACTAATAATAATACAGCAAAACTTCCAATTTCTTAAACTTCTGTTTAACTAATATTTTTTGAGAACAAAACAAAATTTGTACTGTATTTATTTAATTCTATTTACCTAACAAAGTTCTCAATAGTACAATTTTTTGGGGGTTGTTCAGGAGACTTTGTAATATGGAAATTTTGCTGTATTAATAATTTTTTATTGTTAAAATAATTATGTATATTATTTAAACCACTGCTCACCAACCATTTTTTAACGAGGCGATGAAGAATAAAATTCTTGGTGGACCAAAATTTAAACTTTTTCTTTTAAAAGGACATTATACCCGAAAGTGGTGTCTCCATCTTACACACTGACGACATACCAAATTTTCGTTCTCTAGTTTAAACAAGTTGCTTTCAGTTTTGATATTAGAGAGTAATTTACTTATTATCAAACTTTTAAGTAACAACATTATCTGTGTTCCCTCGTTGGTTTTTTACGATATTTTAATTTTTAAGTGAATATGAGTATTTCCGAGTATTAATGTTGTACATATTCATAACACGCTTAAAAATTCAAATATCGTAGAAAACCAATGAGGGAACACAGATAATATTCTTACTTAAAAGTTTGATAATAGATCAATTCACTCCAATGTCAAAACTGACAGCACCCTATTAAAACTAGCAATTTTCTTTGTCTAAGACGGAGACAACACATACGGGTGCGACGTCCTCTTAATTTAATATTATATTATATTTTATTGTAGGTACAGTGATAAATGTACTTATTTATTATCAGAGTTCTGGACTTCATGCCCTTAAAATCATGAAAATATGCTCATACATATGCATAATATAATATTAAAATATGCTCTTAAATATGGGTTATACATTTTAGAAGTACTTACACAAATTAAATTTAAAAACAAATCTTATATGAACTGTGTAAAAAATGGCCAAACTGTTGATGTCTGAATTTTTTTAACATTCAGCATCTTCTTCTGTTGTATCAATTAAAATTTATTTAATTAATTTTCTCACACTGGTATATTTTTATACAAACACGACAAAACATGCATAAACACATTGACACTATAACGATCAATGAGTACTGGCAAGCAAAATAATACCAATCAGATAAATAAAAATAATATTGTTTTCAGAGCTAAAATTAAAATGGGTTCTTCAAATTAAATGCTATTCACAGTTACGCTATTGATTATAGCTTTATCGGCTTTATTGCAAATGAAATGGACAAAATTAATTTAGAATAGACAATGTACCATCATCTACACATTGTTTTCTAAATAACATTTTTAACAAATCGAAACTTAAAATTTTACAGTAAAATATAGAATATGCAATAAAAATTTTTAAATTAAAATCCTTATATCCAAATACATATTATATGTATCAAATCCGATTTCTCCTGTCGATTTCCTGAACAAATATACAAATGTTTAAAGTCCCGAGCCCTGTTTATTATGTATTCAGTATTGATTATTTAAGTGAGAAAAAAATTATTATTTTTAATTTTGATTTAACATTTTGGCTAATTTTTTGATAATTATTACTGATTATTAAAAAATGATATGTATGCTTTTCAGCTAAAATTGTACTCTATTATTGTTGTTTAATATGTTTCATTTTAAATTTTGTTTTATTAGAACCTATTTGTGGTTTGACGAAAAAGGAAAAAAATCTCGAGTTGCTGCTCCATTATACATTGACTATGTTATGACATTTGTTCAAAAAACTATTAATGATGAGACCATTTTTCCAACTAAATATGGTACGTAATATATTTTTAACAGTATAATAATACTTTTTTTAAATTTGTAAATTTACTTATGCATTAATTATGTTTATTGTTACAGCTAATGAATTTCCAGTTGGCTTGGAGATTGTAGTAAAAAAAATTTTAAGATTGTTGTTCCACGTTATAGCACATCTTTACCATAGTCACTTTCGTGAGTTAGTACTACTAAATTTGCATACACATTTAAATTGTGTGTTTGCTCATCTATCAGTATTTAACCATCGTTATCAATTAATTGAGCTACGTGAAACTGAAATCCTACAAGATCTAGTGGTAGCTCTAAAAATTTTAGGTGATGATGAAGAAACAGCTACCGAAGTCAATGAATCTATTGATGAATATAAGGACGTTATAAACAAAGAACCAACCATGTCTTTTGCAGATCAACCTATTAACATGTTCCCTAATCCTTCTCCTATTAATACACAGACTTTAGCTACTCAAATTGATAATTTCTAGTCTAGTAAATAAAATGTTATAATGCATTAAGTATATTTATATAGGTACTTGTAATACATATTAAATAATATGTATAATTATTCTGTACATAGAATTTCTTGTTAGATAATTTAGAAAATACCAGTTGGCAGACAATAAACTAATATCAAAGCTTTTAAATCAACTTTATTATACTAAAATACCAATCTAATAAAATATATTTATCTTTAAAATAAATAATACATTTTTAATCATTAAAAATGTTTTTATATTCATTTCTCGCAATAATTCATACATTTTGTTTGGTTGGATTCAAATAGATTTAATCACATTGAATCCATTGGTTCTTATATTTGAATTAATTATTCAAATATTATCTTTCATATTTAAAATAATTACAAGTTATATTATCTAAGAATTGTATTTTATAGACATTGTTTGCCACTATTCCTAAAATTGTTTTTAAGTGCTTAGAAAATATTGTACAATTTACTAATTCACAGGTTTAGATTGTTAACTAGCTAAAATATTGGTTGAACATCTAAATTAAAATTATTTGAATCCCTTTTTATTTTTAACTGTATAAATTATTATTCTTGTGCACTGTTATTTAAATTTATATAACAATGTTTAAACAACTTATTTCAGCTCAAATATTTATATTTTCAGATCTTTACAATTTTAATATGATTTTTGATTATATGTTATACGTATTATAATAATTTATTATAATAATTTTATTTATATATAGTCCACTCTGGACAATTTGTGAACATTTGTAATTTTTATCTTGTCTATCTTTTGTGATGTATTTAAATATTGTGATAGCAAAAATATGCTCTTTTAAAAACATTATTCATTTTTGGGAATTTTACTTATCTGTAATTATTGTTTTAATTACTTATTTCAAGCCATAAATTAAAAAATAGTCAAACCACATGTGTGTATTATGACAATAACACATGTGATGGTAATTAAATATTCAAATTATAGAAATATAATTTTTAACTTAATGTTTTTGGTTGCTTTTAGAAATTGAAAAATACTAAATTATTTAATAGGCTTGTTCAGATAGAAAATTTCCAAAGTGTGTTTTTGATATTGTTTTTAATGGCAAATTATACAACCGTCCAATTTTTTCCCTTTAGAATGTTTTTTTTAGTAAACTTTATGGGATTCTGTTATATTATTATTAATATTGTTGTTTCTCTTTCTATTATAAAACCATAAAGTAAACTTTGTTATTGAGTTTTCATGTTAAACTTCATGTTGTACTACCTTTTTATCACACTGAGAAACTTAATATGTTTTCAGGATGTTTTATTGTATTTTTAACCAAAAACAAATAGCACTTTTGTTAATACAACATTTGAGTTACCTACCTAATTTATTTAAATGTCATTAACCTTATTTCTTAGAATCCTAAAGAAAATTGGTATGTCAAATGTTATACTATGTTAATAAGACGATTGTGAGTTTTTTTTTAGATTACCCTACTATTTATTATTAGTTATTATAATCGTATTTAATAATTTATTCAATATACAAAAACAATATGTGAGTAGTTTATATATGTATCACTTACTGTTTTGGGTGAAAAGTTTATGTATGTGTTATATAGATAAAATATATTTTTGTACGAAAATATTTTTAAAAAAAAAAAAACAAAAAAATTTAAAATATACAAATAGGTATACATAAATATTCATATAATATATTATTTTAATTATTATAAGGCTGAGTGAATGAATTAAGGTATTAATGAAATGTTGATTTATTTAAATACATTATGTTTGAGAGCACTGTTATATTGTATGTAATTTAATGCTTAAATGCTTTATTAGATTATCTTAATATCTGTGTATGTCAATCTACTATTAATTGGCATAGACTTTATATTCATAGACCAGCTCTGTGAATTCAAATTGGATCCATGATAGAGGGTACTGGTGGTAGTATAAACTATAACTTTATACTGTTACAATATATTTATAACCACAGTATCAACCATTTAATTGTGCCGTCTATCTCGGCTCAAGGCGCCTAATGTTGTTAATATCGGTAGGGCTGGTTTATGAGTATAAAGTTTATGACTATTAGATCCCTTTTTTGTTTTTGTTTTTTTTTAGTAGGGCAAATCTAAATGATAAGACATTTGGTAAATAACTACCCATTAGTTACTAATAATTTGTTTACCTAATTAGAATATATTTTACTGGAGGTTTCTAATAGATGTATTAAAGCAAATTTGAGTTGGTATAACTAGCGAGTTCCTTTTTTAAGTATCTGAATAGATCTTATATATATTAATGTTCATGGTGGAAAAAAAAATTATGTATTTATTTTAGAATTAAGCGAAATTAAAACAGTGTTGTAATATTAAGGATAGTAATTTGTTAACTATGTTATACTTGTTGTTTAAATTTAAAATATATATGTAACAAATATGATTTAAAACTACCTATATTCTCTTGTCGACTGTTCTGTGTAATATGATAAATGATTATTGAAGAATATAATTTGTCTTATTGTTTCATTGAAACTGTCTATAATAATATTATGATCCTTTGAACATTTTAACTGCTTAACACCAATATTTTTAAGTTGTAAGAGGATACTCATAGACATTTGTTGTCTCCGTCTTACAAGTGCGCAACATAACAAATTTATGGTCAACATATCACGTTTAATTCCTATAGCTTAAAAATTTGAGCTAATCGTCCTATTATGAAACTTAATGGTAAGAGCATTATCTGTATTTGTAAGTGGGTCTTTTACGATGGTTCAATTTATTAGCAAAGTGCTCGTATATAATACAGCAGCAAACATTAAAAATGCTAATAACTCATTTAAAAATTGAATTATGGAAAAAAAACCCACATACAAACACAGATAATATTCTTACCATCAAGTTTCATAATTGGTCGATTCACTCAAATTTTTAAACTAACAGAGCTAAACGTGGTCTGCTGAGTATAAATTTGTTATGTTACGCACTTGTAAGACGGAGACAACAAATATCTATGTAGCGTCCTCTTAACAAATTTACTAAGCGTTATACTCAATGGTCTATATTCCTAGCTTAAATCAAATTCTCTAAATAGGTATCTTTTCAAGACTTCTTTAATAAACCATATCTAACTTAATTTCTAATTATTAATTGATATAATGTAGATTATAAAGTAGGTAATCACTACTTTTGTTATTGAGTATTAAGCTAAGTAAGTCAACATTGAAACTTGTGTAATGAATAATGATAATATATTACAATTGTCCATACTAAGTGGCCCGTTGAGTATAAGTACCTACCTAAGGACTTTAAAAACAAATATTATAATTACAGCCGTTGGTAGGTACATATCTACAGTAACAACTAGGTACTAGGTCCATATTATGTGCACTTAACACAAACTGTCACTACAATATTTTTGTAATTGGAATTTATTTCCGTAAATAAATTATTATTATTATTATTATTATTATTATTATTAAACTATTATAGGCATTAAAAAATTAATTCAATATTAAATAAATATTTTATTTTTACTTAGGTACATATCAAGAGATAGGTGGGTAGGTACCTATTGAACAAAATTAGGCATAGTGTAGCTATGGCCTACAGTTAAGGAATTACTTAGGTGTCAGGAATCAGGATCAAGAAAAGAAAAACATATTACAGTAAAAAAATGTACAAAAATTGAAAACTATGATAACTGTTTATGGTCTATAACATTTCAAGTTGTATTAATCTTAACTCTTAGGTAAACGCCAATATTTTTAAATTTAAGTGTATATTACATACCTATTTATAATATATTGCTACAAGTCTGCAATGATGATGTAGGTACCTACGCATTTCACTTAACTCGACGGCTAAAATTTAACACTACCTATTCAATCTAAAAGACGTGTTGTGAAGTTGTTAGCGTTAAAACATAATTTGTTATCGATGGGGCCAATAACAATTAAAACACCATAAGTACGGCAGTATGGGTTTAGAACATTTACTTTCAAAAAATCGTTTAACAAATAAATAAATACCTATGCTATTACTTAAATATTATTTACTACCTATCGTAATGTGTAAAAATAGCACGTAGATAGGTACAAAAAATTGCGAAATACCTACCTACCTAATTATACCAAATGGTACCTACTTATAAATAATATCTGTCAATAATATACCTAATATAAACCTTTCAAAAACTTTAAAACTCTTTTATATCTATACTTACTGCTTTTATAACCTATAATAGCCAGGGTAGCAAATTCAACGAAAAAACTAGGTGTCTCTATTTTTTTTCATATTATCTTATGGTTATGGATACCCACATAATGGTTATTAAAATGTAAACGAACATGAACAAATGTGGGTGTGCTAGTTTCAATATAGGTGGTGCTAGGCACACCCAAGTCCAAATTGCGCTTATGTACCTAAATGCGTAATGTTAGTTGTTGGTATTTGTGTTATTGAGTGTTCAACGTTATACGGAAAATACGATTGAGAACTTTATTTTTTGTGACACGATTGAGAACGCTCAAAAGTTTATTTTTTTTTAGACGTAGCAAGATTTAATCGAACGATTATTAGAGCACGATAATCTATTGATATTGAAATCATCCAGCAGGCAGCAATATAATATGTTGTCGTTTAAATTATAATTGAAACTCAAGCAGAAACAATATTGAAAATTGCTACTATAGAACAGGGTCAAGGTACTAAGGATAATATATTATGTCTATGCCCTATAGTAATAGCTTAAATAGATTTGAGGACTTAGATGATTTTATATTTTTGTAAAACCATATTTAAGGATTATTATTCCTAGTATCTATGAACATTTTAATAACTCAGACACTACTTATTAGAGTTAGATATTTTAAGTCGACTAGGCATTTATTGCATATGGATGCTGGATCTTTACTTATGACTTATGATTAATGTGTGAGTTATAGAAGAGGGTCCTTTTCTTTGTAATGCGTATCACCCTGACGGGACTTTGAAGTCCCGGACAAAAAAG